CCTATTGTGGGCTGGATAGCTAGAGGGGAGTACCGGGGGGGAACAACAAACATTTTTTAAAATATTTACTTTGCAAACACTAGGATTCATACTTACAGGTAGGGTAGGGATTTTTTACGTTAAAAAATAGTATTTTACAAAACAACTGTTATAAAGTATTGCACAGTATTGTACATAGCATGGTACAGTAGTGTACAGTATTGAATATACTACTATACATTATTGTACATTTTTGTACATAGTATTGTAAAGTTTTGTACAGTATTGTATAGTATTGTACAATAGTGTACAGTATTGTACAGTATTGTACAGCATTGTACATTAGTGTACAGTAGTGTACAATAGTGTACAGTATTGTACAGTAATGTACAGTACCGTACAACAGTTTACACTATCATACAGTTTTCCAGAGTATTGTACATTAATGTGCAGTTCAGTTTGTTCATTAATTTAAAAATTAAGGGAGGGGGTAAGGGCATGTTGGAGGGGGCTGGGGGGGGATGTTATAAGAGTTGAGTACAACAATAATGTCCGTGTCCAAGTATAGATCCATGGCTAGGCATGACAATGCAGGATTAACGAACAAACAAAACATTTTTAAGAAAGTTTTAAAAATTTTCCCAGGAAAATATTTACGTAGTTTTCCCATGGGAGCAATACTCAGATGGGTTCTCATTAAACAGTATAACCCCCAGTTTTGGGGTTCGGTTTCTTAAAACAAGCTTGGAAGACGACATTGGAACAGATCAAGCATTCCAATCTTTATTTGTAAGTAAAACCGCGTTAAAGATTGCCCACACAAATAATTATTCTTTGTTCAGTTTGTTCATTTTTTTATCAGATTCGTTGGAATTTTCATATTTCTTGTAGGATAAATTTTTCCCTGACCGGCAGACCAAAAATATGAACAAAATTACAGAAAATCAATATTAATAGATCTCCTAAATAGATCTCTTAAAATTTGACCCTCATATTTATAATTTATCCATCTAAGACTAATGGAGAAAAGCAGGGGTTCAGAAAAGGGGGATATGGGATAAGCCCCCCCCCTCCCCTTCACCCTTGGGTATTTTGCTTGGTCCCCACCTGGTCATGCATACGCCCCTGAAGGAAAATCAATTTGCAAACATAATTTGCAAACATAAATTGCAAACATAATTTGTAAACATAATCTGCATGCGAAACTACGGAAATTGCCAATAATTCTCTTTATATGAACCGCAATTGTTTTGAGAATGTAAAGCTGAATATAGCGTATTATTGTAATATAAAAAATGTTTGAATCTGTAAAAACATTGTATGCGCTTGTGGGGAGAAAAGGGGGGATATCATTATATTTTATCTATACTAGTTAGCCTACCCGGCGTTGCCTAGAGTTTAAAAATTCTTTATCAAACTCATATATAAAGTAGTAATCTTTGTTTGACTATATGTATGTCCAATCATAGCTCAGGAACCCCTTGATTGATTTGCCTCAAGCTTTGATTTAGGAACTCAGTTGAACCCCAGGAATGTTTTAGCTTGGTTTCCAGGCAAACCTGGGTTCCATAGATATGATTATTCAATAAAATATAAAAGTTAAATTTTTACTTTCATTTTGCAAGGATTGATTGGTTTATTGGGTTTTGTAACAGATAGTTGGAAAAATTTTGTTTAAAATACAAAATTTGACTTATCATCTTCATCCTTTATTGGATAATTTCACCATCTGCATTAATTGTATCTATTAACTAGTAAATTTTCATTTTAAACCTTATCATTTATTTCAATCAAATGATAACTAATTTTTAAAAATGGTAACACTATGAAATTTCTAATTAACCACTTTCCAAGCCCGCCTTGTAAAATTGTTCAATGAGATTTTCAATAACAGAAAAAATTAATTTATGATATAACGAAACGATATCAGATGTTTCAATCAAATGTCAGTTAATCCAAAGATGATTTTGAAAAAAATAAAACTAGATTTTTTCCAAAATAAATATTTTTTAATCAAATGACAATTACTCCAAAAATTATTTAGAAAAATAATTTTAAGAAATTAAAAATAACATTTTGCCTCATGTTTTCTGATAATATCTTTTTAAACTTTAAAATAATTTTATCTAATTTTTTTTTACATTTACCTAGCAAATTCAACTGACAATAAATCCTAAACTTATTTAGAAAAATAATAAATTTTTTTTTGAAATCTTGCATTTTTTAAACTTTGAAATAATTTTATTTAAAACTTTTTTTACATTTACCTGGGAAATTCAAATTACAAGTAATCCAAAAATTATTTCGAAAAATTATAAATTATGATGGATAATTAACAATTTTTAAAAATAAAAAACTTAAAGGTTTCCATTAAAAATAAACGACAAGAAAAATAAATAATTTGTACAATGTTTTTTGATAAAAATTTTGCAATAATATTATTATTTTTATATAATTTTATACAATAATTAAAAAATTTACCTAGGAATTTCTTCTTTCCCAGGTAGGTGAAGGGAAGGAGGTCTGAAGGTGGTGGAAGGTTGCTGTCGCTGCCTAGGGAAGGTTTGAGGGGGCGGGGCTAGGATTATATTTGGTCTGGCCACACCTATTGTGGGCTGGATAGCTAGAGGGGCAGCCTCTAGACGGGAAATTGGAACTATTCGCTCTTTCTTTATCTTTAATAAAATAAAAAATATTAAAACTTGTTGAAAATTTGCGATCAGAATGTTTATCAAAGTTATTGCAAACATACTTTAAAGTGACTCTCTATTTAAAAAGATAGCTTATCAGATTTACAAAGGTACCATTTCAACCTGTACAGGAGTAACAATTAGGAAAGATCTTTAAAAGGGATTAATTCTTCCAATTTTCTTCCTTGGTTCATTTCACAGTTTTAAATAAAACAAATACACAATTAAAAATTAAAAAATATTTCTACGAGAAAAATAATAATATATCATTCATCCTTGTACAAAGAAAGCTTCTCAGAGTACCGTTGTAAATACGACATGCCACTCTATGAGGGGTCACTTGAAATTACGCCTACAGTCTCTTTCACCTTTTTCAAACGTTTAGATTAAAAATAACATCATTTTTTCTAAACAGTCTGCAAGACATAAATTGTGTAATATATTCCAGCCTATTTAGTTATTATGTAAACATTTTATCTAAAATATACACTTTCATAACTCTCGTAAAAACTCCTGAGTTTATTCATCAATCTTGCAAAATCTTCGTCACCTTTGAACTCTTTTAAAACTTGCAAAATTACAAAATTCCCAACCATGAAATTTTCAAAAGATTTTTTCAATTAAAAGAGAAAAAGAAATTTTTTTAAAACCGAAATGGTCCTCGAAATTTTGGAACGGACTTAAAGGAATTGAGTCTTTTCCACACACTCAAATTTTCTTATTCTTTTATCTTCTCAACTGAGTGGAAAACCTTCGAAATTTCAAACCTAGATTTTTTTTTGCGATTTAAATATTTAAATAATACTTTCTGAAACTCCGTGACTTGCAATGACCCACTATCTGTAGAGGTTTTGAATAAACTTTTGGCAATCTTTTAATTCAGTTTCTTTAAAGGGTTAAGATTAGATCTAAAGATTAGTTTTTAAATCGTTTCTAAACTTACCAGTCGCCTATTTATAGCCTGGGTTTGTAACGCGCAAAATATAGGTTTGGTTTGGGTTTTAGAACCTGTTTGAAATCCACCAAAAAAGGAATCAACACTTTTTCGTTCCGGGGATTACGCGTATAGGTCAAAATGGTCAGGCATCATTAACTATATGGTTTAGCGAGGGGTGGTGGTGGTGTTTTTGGGGGTGGGGGGGGAGCTA